GGAAAGATTTCTCTGGCCTTCTTTCAGACCATAGTGCCTCCCATTCCTTCTCAGTTCTTCCTGCTGCCAAGGCTTTCTTGCAAGCCAGGAGCTCTGGCCCCTTCAGGGCCATTTCTTGCTCAGCAGCCAACCTTTTCTTTTGTTCCAAACTCAGGGTCGTCTGCTGCTTGACAAGCAAGAATTCAAAGAACTTCCTGCCAACTTTCCTCACTGGCAGCAGGCCCTGTTCCACCCTGGCCAAAGCCTCGTCCTTGCCATACCAGTCTTGAACCTGTTTCCATGGAACCCATTCGAACAATTCATTTTCTTGCTTGCTCTGGGAAGCTTCTTGGCTTTGTTTCAAGCCCCCTGCACTTTTTTGACCAGTTTTGATGAAATGAAGAAGCAGCTGCTTCTTTTTTTCCATCACTCCTTTGCCCTCCATCTCAAGCCAGGCCTTCCTCGCTTCAGGGCTTTTGTTTCTCTCGCACTCAAACTTCTTCCACAAAGCTGTCTTTTCATTTTTGCAAAGTTTGTTCCAAAACTCGTCTTCTGACAATTGGCCTTCTTTCAGGCCTTGAATTGCTTTTTGTGTTTCCTCATGAAACTTCAGCCTGTGGGAGGTCAATGAAAAGCCACTCTCAGAGGCTTCCTCTGTATGGGGGGGTGTCTTGGGATTTTCCGTTTCCTTCTTCGGCTGGCCTTCTTGCAGGCCTTCCTCTTTTGTATGTTTTTCCGGTTCTTCTGCTTTGCCTTCTCCTTCAGCTTCTCCTGTCTTCTCCTTTTTCTTTTTTGGGCCTTCTTTCAGGCCTGCCTTACAACTAGGCCTTTTCATTCTAGCTAGCTTTTCACCTCTTGAGTTAGAAAATGGCTGCAGGCCAGACAATGTTATTGCGAAGTGAACAATGGGAGTTTATAATCCTGTGGAGTTCCTGTGGCGATCCTGTGGAGTTTGTAATCCTGTGGAGTTCCTGTGGAGATCCTGTGGAGTTCCTGTGGAGTTTGTAATCCTGTGGAGTTCCTGTGGAGATCCTGTGGAGTTCCTGTGGAGATTGTGTGGAGTTTGTAATCCTGTGAAGCTTTTGTGGGGGTCCTGTGGGCCACAATCAATCCTATGGTGCGCTGGTGATTTTTGGATTTTCTGTGGAAGTCGTGCCTTATTTTAGTATTTTCATATTATATATTTATATATATTAAATATATATTAGTATTTTTATATATTAAATTCTTAACTTTTCTGGCAGGCTTTAGCCTTAGTCAGCTGCACTGGGTGGCTTTCTTTCAAGCCTCTCCCAGGTGAAACATTTGGCATGCACTGGGGGGCTTTCTTTCAAGCCTCTCCCAGGTGAAACATTTGGCATGCACTGG